AACCATTGTTGAGGCTTTATATTGTTATCATTAGATATGAAATTTAGTACCAGGGCGGCATAATCCAGTTTAGATTGGATAAATGTTTTGTATGTAAAGGTGTTTGTGTCTTGGCACCCCAGTCAGTACCGCTGATGACTCTCAAGAGATAAACATCCTCTTGACAAGAATTAACCAAATTTCTAACACTGGGTGTCCATGTTAGAACATGCTCAAATTTAGTTCTTCGGTGCTAAAAAAAACTGGAGAGTAAACACTATTGCTGTCTCCAAATGGCGTAATTTTCTAGTAGTGTTCTCATGGCTAGATTGGCTGCCTCCAATGTAGGTCCTTCCAGATGGAGTCTTGGTCTGCAGGCCGGGACACAAGGAGAGGATTATTCTGGAAGAGTAACTTCTATCCGTGAGTAACGACGTCGATAATCCAGTGATCGGACGTTTTTTGCTTCCAATTTTCGATGCATGACAAAAGACGCCCTCCTACTGGACCCAGGGTCAGTGTAACGTTGAAAGATGATAGACGTAGATTGTAGAGTTCTTAGATAAGGAACCGCCTCAGTGGTCTAATGGTAGAGCGTCCGCCTGGAGAGCGGAAGGTCCGGGGTTCGATCCCCAGCCGCGTCCTACCAAAAGACGTTAAAAGATGGTACTTGTTGTTACCACGTCTGGCGCTCGGCATAAAGGGGCTAAAACAAGGACTGGTCGGCTCGGAGTCAGTATACTGTGTCTGAGTGGGGTATTCATGTTAAACTGCGGCATGGTATCTCAGTGTGCTAGCAATATAAATCGGCACCAGTCCGGACTAGTACAAGCAGCCACACACACACACACACACACACACATACACGTGCATGCACGTCGCTATATAAGTGCAATAATTTTGGACGCGACGTTAAACCCCATTTCATCTCACCTCTTAGAAAAAGCCAGGTCCATACGATCGGAAACAATCAGAGAGGTGTGTAGTTTCTCGTCGTTTAAAATCTGGCTGTTGTGAAGTCTCCGATGGTCGTTGAGAGTGTCGCCCAAGACACGAAACTCACGGATGGTACAGGCAAACATTTGGCATATATTCCTCTTTAAGATAGGTAAGAGAAGCCGATCATCGTGCCTCAACTTCTGAAGATCATGGGATGTGTGATAAATAACCTGGCATGCGTAACTCAGCCACGAAAAAGGATAGTGAACATGCTGGTATGGTGTGACAACCCGCATACTAAGGCATCTGAGGTACCATCTTAGGATGGATAACTGGCATCATATAGTGCAAAAACACTTCTTCCATTTTATCGTTTAGGCCTCAGTTGACATAATATATTTGAGAACACATTATCCATTTGGACAGGGGTGGCTTGGAAACAGAATCATGATTAGTAGATTCAAGACTTATGATATTAAAGCATACAAGCTGGCAAGCATTCAACACATGTTCATACACAAACATAGAGGATAACTTTCAAAAGAACTCTCACACAAACCCTCAAACAAGCAAGCAAACTGACATGTTAACTGACACAGAAGCTCGAAAAACAAAACATAGATGACTTCAGTCATCAGGCTCGAGGCCATGCATCCTTGAAAACAACAAAGCTGAATTTAAATCTGATAGCTTATAAAGATAACATGCTAAAATATTCTTAAGCTGAATCGATGCCCCAAAAATCAACTAAATCAATTACAATTCAGATGATACAGACTCTGACTTAGGAGACCAAATGTAGTTAAGAGCTGTTTACTTAACAGTTGTGTCAAGCAAGCCAAATGAAGGCAACTACTGCACTTGGATTCTGACTATTTCATAACTAAATGCAATTATATCTAGGACGTGTGATGGGTCCTTTTGGAAGTCCAAACACTAGAATAATTAAACGTCTACCACTTACATCTGGTATCTGTATCCATCTAGAAAGGCTGAATACAACATTACAATGACTTATTGATAACAGAACCGACACTGAAGACTTGATGTAAGTGAAGTAAATTACACATTCCCAATAATATAGGTACTGATAATAAAAATATAGTTTTCTGTTTCGACATTTCCGTTGAAGTTCAATCTGTGGTCTTACACAACTGTACCTGTTTCACGAACTACTTTGCTGTTGGTGTCAATGTCCAATGCGTTGTGTTCAACACTTTGGCTAATGTCACCAACCTTACTCTCAAGATTAGAGTGAGTGAGTGAGTTAAAGTTTTACGTCACATCGGCAATATTTCAGCCATATCGTGACGACTCAAGATAAGAAAGGTCCTGCTTGATAGTGCTATTTTGCTTCTGGATTGCATCTGTAAAGAATCGCTAGAGGGTGGCAAAGTTTTCCGTAGAAATTGCCACCATATTTGTAGGCTTGAAGTGTCACTATAATCATTGGTATTGATGTTTTTTTTCTTGTCGAGGCCATATTATGAGTAGACTAGGATGGATATGATAACGTCTAATTAAGAACATGTAAACTCCATGAACCCATAAATGGAACCTTCTTTCAATTGCAAGTGCATGTACGCCTGTATAAGATATTTAATGTATGTTTATATATGATGAATGTTGTTTTAGATATGTTATTAGGTTTGTAAATTAGATAAACACTTCCGTCGGTTTTTTATGAGATTAAAAACATCAGGACGTCATTATTATACTCTCCTACAATATTCTGCTGTGATCATATCGCCTTATTGAAATACATTGGCTAGTGACTCTGGCCATGGCATTGTCATGATATCAATTTCAAATGTCCAAGGCCACCTCATGGTGATAACGTACAGTGCAGAAGTAGCCGAACATTGAGTCCTGACAGTGAGGGATGGATAAATCACCGTATCGCTATCACTCAGCCAAGCTATTTATTTAGCGGTTTTAGTGTAAGTTCGAAAAACTTCAATATTAAGTGAGTTGTCTGATGGTACTTAAAAAGGCTTGACCTTTGACTTGGCGACATTTTTTACCACTTGGTTTACGGATGCACCGCTCTTTCAAAGTCCAAATGTTTATAAACAAATCAACAAATCACTCCTTTTTTTTTGCTGCCGCCAATCTTTACTTTAAAAAATACATAAAAAGTTTGAAAAAAAAGAGAAAAAGATTTCATTTGCTGCGCGAGTGTAAACCAAAGGGAGGTCACTCTGATATTTCTCGCTTGGATGCATCAAAGCTTGTCAACACAAAGCGCAGTGGTGACCAGTTTGACTCTTTCAACACTGTTGGCCGGTATACCGGCCAAAAAGCCACGACTAAGCAGACACCACGGGCAGGTAGACCGGCCAAGTCGTATCATTCATTTATGAAATCTATCACATTTCGCAATGTCTGAAATACGTATTCCATTTCAATTTATCATTTTTTATCAACACCGGTAGATTAAAAGATGATTCAAGTATGTTAATGAAAATAAAATTATCGGACACACTTTGACAACGGGTCCTCATCGAACATGTCAAACAGCAAAATAAAGACGTCTCAAGCAAATCTTTAAACCTATTATACAAAGTAATAAATAGAAACAACAAAAAATATATCTAAAAATTGCCAAACTGACATCTAAGTTATTATTTCCATCTTTTCGCGCAAATGTGTGTAATGTAAGTCTTATGACATCTCGGCTCTCGTCGCCTTTATTTCTCGGCTCGTTCACGATGTTTATGCCAAAATATATGCAGAAGAAGTCTTTATTCCAATTCGTAACCTAGCACTAAACATCCATGTAGTTCCATATTTCTAACATTGCCCTTGCTTTAATTTGTTTGGCTGCCTTAGGTCACATGCTTAAATTTGACAAATCACGAACCTTGTGGCAGATTTCGGCAAGAAAGCGTCACGAGAAACCAAGTTTTACATGTCACAGCTACGAAAAGACTCCAGTTGATGTAACTTCTGTATTATCATTATGTCGGGGAAACAATAAAGTTGTTTAATGTATACTGACATGGCAGCCTTCGACGTACATATCATTCATACGAAGCTTCGAAAACGGAGGTACTTCCTCATGCTAATGAGCGGAAAGCAACTATTATAGGGAAATGGGTGATGACAGATATTATTTGTATTTCTTTTTAAAAAATTCCGATTACGTAAACAATGAAACTTAAAGAGAAATAGTCAAGTGGATTTTATAAAATCTTATATTTGCCGAAAATCGTTTACTTTTCGCTTCCTTGGTCCATAAAATGGACGTTATGAATGTGTTAGCTTACCAATTCTTTATATTACAACGAACTTAAGTTGTAAATAAATTATTTTTAAATAATGTGATACACATAACATTCATATCTATAAACAATATGATTAATTAGATCTATTAAATGTTGTGTGGCCAAACATGTAGAAGCAAAGATGTTTTACAACCAGATAATTTGCTTGATAAATGTTCGTCTTATCTATCACTCAAGAGTCTCTGGGAACTCGGTGTCTCAGCAGTAATCTTCTGGTTGGCCGGTATTAAAAGAGTTAGTCGTCGCCCGTATTGTTATATTGCAATTTGTGCACAAGCTGGGTGCCAGGGATATAATAAAATGTTCTTGAAAAATTTAGTTATTTTATTTTTGTTACTTCAGAATAAATTTTTTCATACCTACCTAACTTTTTAGGACAAAACTCAAGTAAAAAAAATCTAAGAGGATTTTTTTGTTTTTAATTGGCCAACCTCACTTTTGAAATGAGTTTGAAATCCATAAACTAAGAAAGAAAAAAAGTGTCAATCTATCTGGAACAAAAGGTACTAAATAAAACAATTCATCAATAATGAACATAAAGATGATGATGCTTTCAGAATCCATTTCAGAAGGTAATGTACATTTCTCATCAATGCTCTCTTTCGAGAGTATGGAATACAATGACCATCTATTATCAACACTTTCAGATATGCATCACATAATTAGTGATGCTATTATGGACTGACTAAACCATATTTACTTCATTAGCTGGGGATTGGGGTGAACGGATACAGACATCATATTTTTCTGCAGACTGGGTCAGATGATAGATAGCATGAAATGTAGCGTACTTACATAAGACAACCAGGACGTGTTTGCAGTCAGAGATTGTACTCCCGTCACTGACCCTCGTACAGTAGAACTTGCCAGCATCAGCAGTTGTAACATTGTTTAGTGTAAACCTCACCACCACGCTAGCAGACGATCTGGTAACGCCTGGGATCTTCACTCTCGACCAGTTGCTACCCGAGTTGTAGACGTCAGTAGACTTGACAAGCAGAAGTTCTTCACCAGCAGGGGTTTTGACAGAGAACCAATCTTTACACAGAGGCATTTGCCAGGTGACAATGGCGTTGTTTCCTTCCCGCGCCGTGGTGTTGTCGGTGTAAGTCTTTGACCAGGCTGCAACATGTACATTGTACATCAGTCCTAATACAAGCTGCATAATACGTTTACAGAAACGTAGTTGATTAGTTTCGTTTATTGCTCTGACAAAATAAACACTAATCAAACACTGCGTCTTAAGACTTTCAAAATTTATTAAGCATCTAGTGCTTATTCAAGGACTAATGGTAGATATATTCCTGCTTGCTGACATATTACCATGCGAGATTACGAAATGCTATCGCAGACCATTTGTAACCTTGACGTTATTAAGATAAACAACACACATATCTTTTATATGTTTAAAGTACCAGGTGTATAAAAAACACAAAACTTCGGTTAATTTTACCCCTATCTCTGCCTCATGGGCTTTCAAGGTGTGACAGTCACCTGCGATCCAAACTATTAGGAGATGTAACTTATGAACAGTAACAGTTGCAACTATACTAAACAACAAAAGTTCCTGTGACATTGAATAAGATTTAATGCAAAGTTAAGTTTTTTACCAAATCCGAAACAATTTCGGTTTGCAACAGATGAAAGACTCCTGTAAGTGTTCAAATGGTTTAAGTTGCCATACTGACTTCAGAAAATGCATGATTTCATAAAAAAACATGAAACATGCCAAAATGTCAATTTACAAATCAATAGCGTGTGTGTCCACCTCTGGTTGCGATGCAAGCAACACTACTTCGTCTCATGGAATGGACCAGGCGTCGCACAAAGTCCTGTGGGATATCTGTCCATATCTGCTGGAGCATGATTCGAATATCTGTGGAACACGCGGTTGACATCGAAGGCGCCGTTCCATCTCATCCCACATGTGCTCGATTGGTGAGAGATCAGGGGAGCGAGCCAGTCAGGGGATGACATTCACGTTGTTTTGTTGAAAAGAATCCTGAACAAGTCGAGCAATATGAGACCGGGCGTTGTCATGTTGAAAGGTAATGCCGGGACCATGACGACGCAAAAACGGTAAACAACAGGGCCGATGATCTCCTCGCGGTAGCACTGTCCATTGATATTTCCCTCTACCACTATCAAACGGGTCCACTGTCTTGTGGTAATCCCACCCCATACCATAACACTGCCGTCCCCGAATCGATCTTCTTCCATGACACAATGATTGACGTCGGTCTATCGAATCCGTCCATCGCTGTGGCTGAGCCGAAAACGAGACTCGTCAGTGAATACAACTTGCCCCCACTGCATGGCCGTCCAGCGTAGACGCTGTCTGCACCACTGTAGGCGTGCTCGACGGTGGTTTCCTGTCAAAATGGGAGGTCTGGCGGGTCTTCTGGCGACAATCCCTGCACATCTGAGGCGACGACGTACGGTTTGTGAAGATATTCGTCGAAGGCCAGGGATGCTTCATGCAGTCACTGTTGCTGGCTGGAATCGATTTCGTATGTGTGTTGTTCGAATCCAGTTGTCTTGTCGATTATTGGTTACGCGTGGCCTGCTACTCCGAGGATGGTCTCTGACTGCATTCGTCTGTTGCCTACGTTGCCATAAACACCAAAAGGTGATTGAGAACCACTAAATAAAAAATCACTGTTACTTGTTGCGGTACACTCCCCGCTTGATATATTACAAAATTATCACACATACAACCATGCATGCATAACATAATAGACACACTTGAGTATGTCAAGCAACACAATATAATGTTCATAAAGTCATTTGTTTGTCTTCTCTGCAGATAGCAGCACCACCATCTCTGAGATGGGACATGTATATGTTGTTGCTGATTTCTCTCGGATAACACGGACAACAGCCTTTCGCACTTTGCCATCTGTGCTAAGAACAGCCTTCTCTATCACACCAATAGGCCATTCATTTCTTGCAGTATTCTTTTCCTTTAATTTTGAAGAAGAACATCGTCTTGTGAGACATTAGGTTCATCCGAAAACCATTTGTGTCTACGTTGCAAGGTATGAAGATATTAATTCTTCCACTTTCCCAAGAACAGATCAGCAAGGGACTGTACTTGCTGCCATTGTGACTTATATAAGTCTTTTATCTCAAAGTCTGACACCATTTCCTCTACACTCTACATGTTCAGTTTCCAGAGTCAACAGAGTAGAGGGTGTCAGTATGCCTGGCGATGAGATAGGTACGATTGGTCGTGCATTCACAATTGCACAAACCTCAGCTATTTATGTTGTCAACACTTCATGTGTAAAGTTTGTGAATGAGTGAATTGCTCTCACAACAAGGCATGTAAACAGTAATGTCCATTACTGTTTGCTTGACCTCCTCTTGTGCGCCGTGGGACAACATTCAAGGGGCCGAGGGTTTCAACTCCGACATGACTCTGTGTCAGGCGGACAACTGGCAGATTGGCCATCTTCTGCTGGGCTTCCCGACCATGTAGTTTCAGACATTTCACCCATTTGTAGATCAAAGAAATGATCAAACGTGTCCACTTGTAACCCATAGACCTGCAGCTCTTACAGCTCCTTCCGAAAAGTGTCGGCCCTGATGTTTTACTTGTTCATGATAATGGCGAATGAGGAGAGTTGCAATGTGATGATGACCAGGGATAATAATTAAGAGGATGTTTGTGACCAGTACTCAAATCTGCTTGACCGAGACATCCACCTACTCTCAGCATATCTTCCTCATCAACCACTGGATTCAATGTCCTTATTGAACTATCCTTTGGCAAAGGAGATTTGGATCGGATGCAGTCTATCTCTGTTGCATAGACTTCATGCTGAACTTGTTGAATGATAAAACGTTCAGATGCCATGTAAGCTTGGCTGCCAATAATACCTGTACACATGTGTTTATTCACGTTTCAATTTCAAGTTATGATTCCTCACCAATTGACGAAGACGTTCTATGGCTTCAACAAGTTTCTTCCATTTTGAGAATTTCTCATATCTGTGAGAATCTAGCTTTTCATGTTTGTGTACAACACTGGTAACACATGAGGTCACTTCTGTCAACAGTTCTGTGCTATTTTCCTCATCTTTGCTAAACTCAGTGTGTTGATCTTTCTGAGGGAGTTGAGATGGACCTTGAAGCCATGAACTGTTTCCAACTAAGTTGGCTTGAATTAATCTTGTTGCACTATCTGAGGGATTTTAATCTGTTGCAACATAATTCCACTGTTGTGAAGATGATAATTTTCTGATTTTGGCTACACTATTGGATACATAAACAGAAAATCTCCTGGTCTTGTTAGAAATATAACCAAGTGCAATTCTACTGTCTGTGAAATAACTGACAGATGTCAATGGAATGTTTAAGCACTCACACACCAAATTCCTAATTTCTACGGCTAGCACGGCTGTGTTCAGTTCCAAACGAGTATTGTGTGTCTGTCTGTCCGAGCGACCTTCAACTTGCTTAACAAAAATCCCATCTGTCTTTTTCCAGTCTACTCACTCGCAGATAACAGATAAGCTACAGCCGCAACAGCCTCTTCGGATGCATCACAGTATACACATATTTCTTTCTTCTCATATTTTTGAAGAGACATCGGCCAACATTTCTGAGTTATCTGTAACTGCTTGAGTTACTTCAAAGAATCTCTCCAGTTCTCCCATTCTTGTCAAAGTTCCTCGGGCAATATGTCATCCCATTCCAATTTCTGTGATATGAACTCCCTGAGGAAAGTTTTTCCTTTGATAATGACAGGGGCAACGAAATCCATTGGGTCAGACTATTGATGGTTGAGAGCACTCCACGTTTAGTGTAAGGTTTTGCTCATCTGACACTCTAAATGTAAATGTGTCAGATTTCACATCCGAGGACATCCCAAGGCTACGCTGTGTTTTCCTCAAAGTTCAAGTCTTTGAAGTCTTTAGCAACATCCTCGGATTAAAATGCATCCACAAATTGTGAGTTGTTGGATGTAATTTTGTGAAGTCTTAGGTTTCCAAACTCTTGCAAGGTTTGCTGTGTTCTCTTCACACGATCTACAGCCTGGTCCGCAGTTGTAGTAGACCTGAGTACGTTATCAACATAGAAATCTTTCTTGACAAACTGTTCAACTTCTTCTCCTAAAGTATTATTTCCAGTTTCCACTGTTTTTCGAAGCCCATAAGTGGCTATAACTGGAGATGGGCTGTTTCCAAACACATGCACCAGTATCGGTATTCGATCAGCTCTCTGTCGGGGTCATTGACTTTGTACCACAAAAATCTGAGGTTATTTCGATGTTCCTCTCGGACTTAAAAGCAGTACAACATCTGTTGGATGTATCCCATTACTGCCACAACATGTTTTCTGAAGCGGATAAGAATGTCCTGCAAACTATTTGTCATATCTGGTCCTTGCAATAGAACTTTGTTTAATGAACTTCTGTTGTACTGAGCCGAAAAAATCAAATTCGACTCGCACTTGATTCATTTTTTGGGGGTGATATACGCCAAATAATGGTAGATACCAACATTCTTCTCTGGCTTTTAGAGGAGGGGCTATTTCTGCATGCTTGTTTTCAAATATCCTTTCCATGAAATCCAGCACATGCTTCTTTTTCATTGCATCCCTTGTGATACTACAGTCCAACGTGTTGGCTTGTTTGATAGCCTGGGGTTCGTTGTTAGGAAGGAGTGGTCTTGGGGACTTGAATGGAAGTGGTGCGACCCAGTTTCCACTTGTGCCTCTATACATTTCCTGGTCCCTGATTTGAAGAAATGTGTGATGTTCGACAGATAATCCACGTTTGTCATCATTTTTGATGACCTCAAATACTGTCCTTCCTAATATCTCTTCAGGCGACAGAATATCCTGTGAAATCTTTACTTTCAGATCAAACAAGTTCGGACACGGCTTGAAAAGAGACGTGCGTCCATTTTTCAAGAGGTATGTCTTCTTAACATTCCCAATGTCAGGTTCGTGCACCTTGCCTATGCAACTTTCACCAATGATCACCCAACCTAAAGGTAGCGTTTGAGCATATCCTGGTCCAATGCGGTGGTCATAGACATGGTGTGCCTGAATCAAGTTTGTACCAATGAGCAATAGAATGTCAGCTTCAATGTCGAAGAGAGCCAGATAATGCAAAAGCTACATCAAGGGTTGGTATCTCATCCCTGAATAGAAACTGAATTATACTCTATGACAGTTGGAAGATCAAAACTAACCCCGCTGTCTACTGATTCAACTACAAAACCACTGCCTCTCCTTCCCGAAGTCTCCACTACACCTGCACATGAGGAAAGTGTATTACGCACTTCATCACTGTCAATGTTGAATATTTCAAAGAACTTTGATCATGCCAAGCTTGAGTGACTTTGGTCATCAAGTAACGAATATATCTTCACTGATAATTCTTTGGATACACATTCACCAGGATTGTTTTTGCACAAGATTTACCACACATATCTGTGTACATTTGGAGGGAACAGGATCTCTTATTCCACTTTTAACTTTAGTCTGATCCTTCTCCCCGCTATTGTCATCCAGCAATCTATCACTCTGGACAGGGGGAGGATAGTCTATGTGCAGGGCTGTTGCATGTCTAGGGTCATTGCACACAGAACATTTTCCTGGCTGTTTTAGCACATCCTGGCATCCTGTTGTCGCCATCCAACATCTGTAGCAAAGTCGATGTCTTTTGATAAACTCCTTTCTCTCTTCAATAGGTTTTTCTCAAAAAGCCTTGCATTCATTTAAAGAATGTTTCATCTTGTGCAACTGTTCTCTGTTCTATTTTCTTTCTGCGACTGTTGACATTCTGTCTTCCTTGACGAGATCGCAGGCTTTACTGGTTCCTGTGTCGGGTAGGGTTTTTCTTTCTGGACTGAAACACTCTTGCCTGACTCATACACAAAACGCGGATCATTTCTGACCTTGCTTGACTCCCGAACAAACTCAACAACATCAAGAAACTTGGAAAAGAGACACTGTGGTGTTCTTTATACCTGAACGCTTGAGTCGTCCATCTTTCTTGTAGAGAATACGGCAACTTGTGAACAATCGGATTCACCCCTGTGGATGAATCAAAGTAAGCTGGCATTGTGCTATACTTCTCAACGCCCCTGCTCTATCTCACAAAGTAAATCTGCAAGTTCATAAAGTCTCTTGTTATCTCTGCTCGTCAACTTCGGAAAGTTTGTCAACCTAGATTTAAGAGATGCTTCCACCATTTCAAGTGACCCATATTGCTCATCAAGTCTTTGCCACAATCCGTCAAGTCCCTTCTGAGGGTCCTGAGCATTACATGCTCTTTGACTAAGGGCATGTTTTGCTGATTCTGGACCCAACCATTTTACTAATAAGTCCAGTTTCGCCATGTGTGTAACTCTCAATTCGCCCATCACACTCTGAAATGCATACTTCCAATTACTGTATGATTCTGGCTGGTCATTGTAATATCGCAGTCTAGACTGCAGCAAATCTTTCTTTAAAAGAAAGAGTGATAATTCTTCAGCTTGACATTCTTGAGTACTTACAAATGATACACACACTCGTGTCCGTTCCTGTGAATTTTCAGCAGGTAACTGAATACTTGACTTCTGTCCATCACTCGAAACTGAAATGGCATATAAAGCATTAACTTCTGCTTTGGCTTGTGCAGCTTCCTTTTGTTGCTGTAAGAGTTTGCACTCTGCTTGGAGTTCAGCTTTCTTCCTTATGGCCTGAGCTGCGGTTACTTGCTGTCGTTGGTCAATCAATGCTTGCTGCCTAAGAATGTCTGCCTCTTTTACTGCAACCTCTATGGCTGCCTTTGCAGCTTCAGCCTTTGCAAGTGTTTTTTAGCAAGGAGTGAACTACCTGTTTACGAATGACAATCAGATCAATTTGACTTACTCTCCGATTTTCTTTTGCTAGTCCGATGTGAGAACTTCTCCAATGCTTCGTGAATACAGCTGTCAATGTGTTTAGCAGCACTGTCTACTGATATTCTCAAACTGTACACTTTCAGATTATGAGAATCTAAATCTTGCTTACTTTCTTCTGTACATGTTCTGGACAAATAAGCAGCAAGTTCAAGTTAATAATATGAGGTCACCATAACATGCATTGCTATTGTCAATTTGAAGTTGAACACCCTTCCATAATGTTTCCAGTTTAATACTGAGCTCTTGTCTGGTGGATTCATAAAGAATTTGTCCCTTTTGCAGTCAATGTCCTCTTGCGCTTCTCATCACTTTGTTCATCGGCTTTGCCTTTAAGGATGTCTACACTCTATTCCATAACTGTAGTCTCCATCTGACTTCAGCAGTTGTCGAAGTCCTTTCACTGTACTGTCTTCCCCAAACGTGATTTAGGTTCTAGCAGTCATCAGTTTACCGATCCAACACTAAGGCACAGTCTTGTAAAATATTGGACAAAATTTAGATCCAAGATTTATAAGATAACTATTTCTGCGCACGCCAGTGTGCATGGATG